TAATTCCCTGTGAATCTCTGGTCCGGACGCGGAGCGACGAGTTTACTGGTGGTTTTCTGCTCTCATAAACAGCACCGAGTGTTCGCTCATCCAAACACTGTCAAACTAATTTCCTCACACCGCAGAGGTTCAATTTAGCTTTCAGATGAATCAATTCTTCCTCTAATTATCAATTGTGACACCCATAATGACTGGAAGACTGTAGCACTGAATAAATGGCATGTCTTTTGTGTTATAATTCTGTGCATCTTGACAAACATGACCCATTAAACAACCCTGTGGCCTTTTTCAAGAGCGACGATTAGGCTAATTAAAACTGCTAAACATCTGAGGGGGCTGCAGACGTGCCAGAATTAAACAGGTCATTAAATCAGCCGAGGAATATGTCAACATCCACTCTGCCTGTCGCTCCCGCAGCGAGATACTCGCAGAGCAAGGAGGCGATAATACGCAGCAGATCGTCTCATATGCGGGAAGAAAGTGGCCTGGAGTTGACAAACAGAACACATAAAGAAAACACATTAAAGCAACCAGAGACGTGACAAGAATTGATGACAAAACGCCTCACAGACGGATCTGCTCGCTGAAAAACCCTCTGAATTATGTACGTTTGCCCCTCAGCCTCTTCAAATCAACGCTTTAAGTATAATCTTCAAATAAAAAGCATAAAACATTCTTTCTTCACATCAAATTTCCTGTGTTTAAGCTGTCCAGCAATAGTCTTGATGTCTAGAAAAAGGTGAAAAACCTAAATCATATATTCACAGTGTTGTCAGCTTACAGTGTTTTTCACAACTATTTACATTTTTGTTAAAAACTTATAAAAATCCACTTACTTCTGCTTCAGGAACATTTAGAGTCACATAAAGACGATTACAAAGTTGGCCTTCGGTCACCTGAAGGACTTTTTTATGCCTTAAAGCTTTTTGAACCGCCTTGTTGCTGAAATGTTCAACACAAAAAAACTTAACGAAACGGAGACTGACATATTTCTGCAAACCGCTTCTTCTGTAGACAAGATAAGCAGCAGCACACCTTCTGACCTCACTAGGGACCAGGGCGTTAGAAAATGGACGGACGGATGTTGTTTTTGAGTTAGTCTTATTTCTAATGTATTAAGATATTTTCTCCAGAAACTAGACCAAAATTGCTTGGTAAAATTTTGTGTTTTTGCAGTGCAGTAATAAAATTTTTTATTCTCTTCCCAGGTTGCCAACTGATCTGCGTTTCGTGGATGAATGTGTCTCCAGAGCGAAGGGCTATACTAGTTCAGTTAATTTACTATTTGACAATTTTTGTAGGTATTTTGTGAATAATAGTTCACATGTATGCAAATCACAAATCAGCAGCCACTGCCCATTACCTAGCAACCCCAGCAGAGTTCCACCCGTTACCTAGCAACTCAAGTTGAGCTCCAGCACGTTTGGTCAGCTGGTTTTGATGGTATAAAATGGCTGCTGGAAAAGACGAGTGTTTTGTTGTTTCTTACCATTCAGAAACTGTTTGCTGCTTTCTTGTTATTTGTGCAGGAGGCTCCACTTCTGCTTTTCAAAGATGTGCGGTTGTATAATTGCACATCTGTTTGCAGCCATTTTCACCAAAGTTATCATAGATAACTAAAATGAACAAAATAAAGAAAACTGAAACAGAGAAAACATTTTCATTAACTCAAATAAATATTGCGCATTTATAAAAGTAACTAAAACGTACTGAAATTAAAGATATGATATTCTTCGTTTTTGTGTTTCTGAATCTACTGATTAGCCTTTTGAACTGATGTGAAATTGATCTTTTTTCCTACACAAGCTGTTTACGTCAGAAAATTACGACACTCTATAAACCTCCCAGCGGCGTTTAGTCCGCAAAACGGCGACAGCAAAAGTTGGGAGAAAACAGCTGAGTCAGCTGGTTGTTCAAGAATAAATGAATAAATTTTTTATATATATTTTCTGTTCTGCACCTAAAAAAGTATAAAAAACAAACTAGCAAACCCCCAGTAAAAACTAATTAAAACTAAATTAAACAAAAAGAGAAAATAAAACTAACCTTTATTATACTGATAGTAACATCCTCACCTCAACATCTCTATTTTATTACATCTACATGACCTGCTGATGAGGTTCTTCCAATAAATCCCAGAGTTGCATGTTTTTAATGTACTGAAGCTTTAACTAGTGAGTTTGCAGCCTGCAGTCGTCAGCTGCGTATCAATGGCATCTTGTTATTAATCTCTTTGAACGCAGCGTAACGCCGGGGGCAGAGATGATTCTGCTTTCAAGCTGGAAAATCCACTTTTCTCTCCGTCATGTGAAGGAGCTGCAGTCCGTTCCTGGAGGCCAGTCTTAACCTTTGACCCCGGACAATTTGTTGTGAAATCCTGCGACAAATTCCTTGGGCACAAGTCGAACCACTTCTAGCAGAAGTGTTTGTTGTGTTTGGGGAGGTTTATAAAAAACAACAATCCCATTAGGTGGTTGTGAAGCTGAAAGGGGAACACATGTTGGCGGCGAGGAGACGTCCGGCCTGTCGCTCGCCGCCATCGCCGCCCAGCAGCGGATTAGCGCAGATGCTGCTGATGGCGCCCAGAGAAGCGCCGCAGCTCAGACGAACCCAACGTTGCTCTCATAAACGCCGATGAATGTCGGTTCACTCAACAAAACGAGACGATAAGAGAAGAAGCTAGGACTGGTGAGTTTTACTCCAGTTTGAGAAAATATTTATAAAAACGACTAGCATGAAGCGAAATGTTAAAGGACCTATGATACGTCCTTTAACAGGTTGGGACAGGATGTAGAAAATATGGTTACTACATTTTTAGCACAAAATCATTCATAGATAATGACGTCTGATCAGTTCTGTTTGTTTTACGGTTCTGTCTCTTTAAATGCTGCTGGCCACGCCCCCAAACGTTTACACTCACAAAAATCAGCGTTAAAACAGCTCTGGGTTTTTCATATAGTTTAGTTTTATTTCATTTTGTCTAATTCAGATAACTTTAATTACAGTGTGTTTGCTCGTTTTATGACTTCATTCCTCTATTATTTCAACTTTATTCTCAAAATTTAATTTTTTTTTCCAACAACTTTACTCGTGTGTAAATACTGGTAGATACCATCTGCTTAAAGACATTTCAGTTTGATCTGAGGTCAAAGGTCAGCTGGTCCAAACGGGTATCAGAACCAAAATCATAATAAAAAATGCATCTTATGATTATTTGTCTCCATAATTTGTGAAAATACTTTGATGAAGGGTTTCAGTTGTTGAAAGAAAAACCTCAAAACGCCACTGGAGTCTTTTTGGCTCCAAGTTTATGGAAATAAAACTTATTACACGTCAGCGCTCGTCTTCTCTCCCTCATTTAATGAAGCATCTCTGATGTTCCTCATCCTGACTTTAGATATTCTTCACAGCCGCCATCAAAGCGGGGAAATCCCACGCCGCACTTTGATGAGCCTAACGCAGTTTTAACTCGCCTCTCATTACTGAGATAATTAACAGTTTAATTAGCAGCAATTCTCAACAACCGAGAGAGACGGAGACGTGACGCAGAATTTCCCACAAAGCGGCTCGGTTTCTGGAGATTGGGTCGGTTCATAGCAGGACTTTTAGGTTTCTCATCTCACCTGAGGACAAACAGCTTCGAAATGAGCAACGCGAACAACTCGGCTCCATTTAATTTCATTCTCATCACCTGGAAGCAAAGCAATCATCGGCTTTGAGAAAAAAACTCCATCATTACAAATAAAGGAATTATCTCTCTTTCTGCATGCTGCTTGGTATGGAGGCATATTAGGGACAGAGGACATGGAAAAAATAACATTAAATTTCTGCCAAAAATGTCATAAATTTTTAGATTAATTTCTGAAATTTTCCAGAAAAACTCTGAAACTTAGGAGCTTGAAAAATCAAATATTTGCAAGAAAATAGTCAAAGAAATTGTTAATTATCTCAGAAATTTTCTAGAATAAAAAAAAATATATCTGACATCCCTAAGATGGAAAATTAGCTAAAAAAAAATCTTAGAAATTAATTTCAGAATTTTTCTCAAAAGGTTTTGAGATCTCAAACATTTTCTAGATACGAGGAAATACTTGATCTATAAAAGTGGAAGTTTGCTTGACAAAACTCAAAAATTTTGAGGTAAATCTCAGGAATTTTCTAGAAAAAAAAATCTGAAATTTCTCATTTTGAAGAGTCAAAAAATTGCAAGAAAATAGCCAAAACAAATTATCTAAGAACTTTTCTAGACAAAACAATTAATTTTTGGAGCTCCAAAAATGGAAAATTATCTAGAAAAGGCACAGAAATGTTGAGATTCTCAGGATTTATTTGTTTTTTTAGAAAAAAACTTACATTTTCTCCATTTCAAAAGTTGAACATTTTTCAAAAGTTGAAAGTTTCAAAACTTTCAACTTTTGAAGTTTTTTTTTCTAAAAAAAAAAAAAATCTGAGATTAACCTAAAAGTTGAGTTTTTTTCTAGAAAATTTTCATGTTTTTTTTCTAGGAAATTTCTGAGTTTTATTTTTGCAAGAATGTACTCCATGTTTGTCTCCAATGTCTCTAATATGTTGTTGTAGTTTGGACTTAAGACTTCCTGAATGAAGCTTTCAGCTCGTTTCCGCTGCAGATCAAAGCTGCAGAAACTGGAATTTGTATTTTTATGTTGAAGAGACGCTGCAGAGGAGCTCAGCGCACAATGAGCAGCAAGTGTAGGCTTCAGGAAAAAAAGGGAACGCGTGTGCCTCTTGTTTCGGGCGCAGAGACAAAGACTCGTCTCCCATCTGGGCTCGGGCCAGCAGCAGAGTCTCTGTTTCAAACTTGCAGTTTGCGACCGCTCCAAACTGTTTACAGCAGCCAAATTTCATTTTCTGCTCCCAAATCCGATCGCACATTATCCTGTACATTGCATTAGCGCTCTAATCTTCCCTTTCTCTTCCTGCGCAGAAGAAAGAAGCGCCTTCATGATTAACCCACTTTACAGCAATAAATAAACGCATCATCCAGTAATGTACACCAGATTTAATTTGAAGGGGAGGGAAGGGAAAAAAGGCTGAAATCACTGAAATGTAATGAAAAATAACACAATGCAGACACCAGTGGGCGCCTTGGGAATTAATTTGAATGCTTCTTCATTATTTTCCTCTCTCTGCTTCACTCTGGATTGGTTTTCTCTCAGCCGACTGCCTGACATTTCCCCCTCACATTCAGCTGCTGCAATGCCTTCAAAACATACAAGAAGAATGAAAAGGAAAAAAAAACACTTTTTTAATCAAATTAACTCCTCTTCCTCCATTTTCATCACATGAAGCCCATATTGCTTTTGGTTTCCCATCGTTGCTTCGCCTCAAACCTGCAAAACAAAAACAAAAACCGTCAAAAACCCAAAGAAGTGGCTCTGCCGCCCGTTTTCACCCAGAGCGCCACCCGCGGGAGGGGCGTGACGGCGGACATAAACACAGAGACACGAGGCGGACGTCTCACCCCCAGGCGATCTGCCTCTTCCTCTTCCTTGCTGCCCTCAACGCTTCCTCTTCCTGTTTGCGATGCACAAAGTCGCGGCAATCAGCAGCCTGAGCGATTTGCACGGCCATCTTTTCACAGACGGACAGAAGAAAACGGAAATTAGTCTGTTTCTGTGAGACGCCTCCCAGAAATCACCAGAAAACCTTTTATAGCAAAATTACCCCTCAACTGGACGACATGAGGAGAGTTAGAGAGTCACTGAATCAGCTTTCAATTGACTTTGGAAAAGTTTCCAATCATTTTTAAGTATTTTCAAGGTTTTCAAACTTTTCCAGCACCAGGCTTTGGAGAAAAAACCAAAACAAACAAATAAAAAAGAACATCTTCACTTTAGTAATTTATTACTGTCTACAAAGTACAGCAAGAACGACATTAACTAAAATATAACAAATGATGATTTGAGGATTATAACAAAAAAAAGATTCATCTTCAGACAGAGAAAAATATGTATATCTGTGGTTTTATTGCAGAAAATATGTGGTTTTAACTGTAAATAACATTTTCCAAATGTCGGCTTTTAATCAAACACTAAATTGTATTTTATTATAAAACTGCACTGAATATCAAGACTTTCAAGGACTTTATTCAGGAATCCAGAACTCTCCAAACCTTGAAAACACCGTATCTATCTCTGCTGACCTCTGAAAACATTTTACTAACATCTTTAAAATGAGGACAAACGTTTGACACCATTTTCATTGGATTTGAAGAAGATGGGAGACGACTGACGCAGGTGACGTTTCCAGCTAATAAACAGAACCGGACCGGCCGGTTTGATCACCGGGACGGTTCGGTTTGTTGAGTTGACGTCTGGTGAATCGGTTGAAATGAAAACAAACAGAAAGCCATTATCATTACTTTGTGTTCGTCTGTCGAAAAAAACAAACATGTTGGTTGTAATGAGAAATACTTTTACAAAGCAGTGGATGTTGTTTAAATTAAGTGAGACAAGAAAACGTGTTAATTATATGATTAAGTTCAGTTAAACTAAACTAAATGTAAAGAGCTGTTTACATCCACATGGAGAAGACTTTTTTTAACTTTCTGTTTGTCTAATTTAGTGTTAATTAGTTTTTAGACTATTTGCTGTTTTTTTAGTTACTTTTAGTTAAATATTTTTTACTTTTTAGTTTAGTTTTTATTAGTTCCAGTAGTAGTTTTAGTTTTTCATACTTGAAAATGAAAGATATTATATCTAGAATTTCAGTATGTTTTAGTTTTATAAATCCATGATACAAACACTTTGCATATTATTATTTATAACCGCAATTTTGTGCATGCGCTCAACACTGGAAAAGCAAAAATGTGATTATTTTAGCTGCCGTTATTTATTTAGTGCAGCAAAGCAAAGGGAAAAATGATGCAGAAAAACTGTTGAAGAAAAACTCAAAACCACTTATTTCTCGCTCCCTGTCGCTACACACAGATTCGCTGCCATAGCAACCAACAACAACGCCACTTTATGTTTCAGGATTCAACACCAAAACACACACAAACGTTTCCCACACAAAGAACATTCAGGCTGTTACAGTTTTATGTTTTTAGGTTTGATGTTTATTTTGCGATTATTAAAAAGTGATCGCTATGGTAGATTAGCCGCCGCTGCTACTAGCTAAGCTAACACAGCGGTGCTAGATTAGCTAAGTTAAATAGCTGCTCTACTGATGATCTGTAAGAGTTGGTGTTTAGGTCGAATTTTTATTTTTTAACTGAACACATTGAATTCTGCAGCACATCTACATGTTACAATTGTCAAAGTCAAGCTAGCATAGCTTAGCTTCCCTCTCCCTCGCTACTGTTTTTCCATAGTTAAAATTTTTTCCTGACTTTGTTATCTAATGTTGACAATTAGTAGCAAAGCACTGCGTCGCTTTTTCTTTCATTTACATTTACATTTAAGATTTAGCGCGTTATGTTGATAACTTGAGAGCTAAATCCAATGCTAGTCATCGTCACCTGGGAGTTTTTTTGCCCTCCAGCAGGGGGCAGGATTTCAGTCTGCAGTGGTTCAAACTATTGTTGTTGTTCCCAGTTAATTATCATTTTATTTATTTCAGTTAAAATGATTTCTCAATTACATTTATCTTTCTAGTTTTAATTAACTATAATAATCTTAATCGTCACCAGAGATTATTCTCAATTTTTTATTATTTTTGTTTATGAGCTCTATTGTTATACAAAAACAAAAACAGCCATTTTCATATTTTCAGATGCAGCTCATATCCCGCTCCAAACCAAATCAATCAAGGATAAATGATGTAATAAAACTACAATCCATAATTAGAGACAATCTCCACCATTCTGCAGATTTTGCACCAGAGTCGTAATGGCATTTCTTTTTTTTCTTTGTCTGCGACTTTGTGTGTTTGGAGTGAAGCAGAAATCAGACGATGAAGAGAATGACCGTGACTGCAAGAGGCAAACACTGAAATCCCAGGGAAGACATGCGCGCATTGTGAAGCGCAGTAATCCCAGTAACCCCAGACACACAGAAGCCCCGAAACAAAGGGGAAAAATCCTGCCGCTGCTTTCACTCCTGAGATAGGTTTATTATTCGAGCAAAGGCGAACTTTGATAAACAACTTGGAACAATTTCACCAAACCTTCGGGTAATTCTCTGTAATATTCAGAGCACAATCAGCAGGGAGAGCAAGTCTTAAGGTAATGAAGAAATGTGCCACCACTGTGAAAAAAAAAGACCTGCTGGAAAAAAAAATTTCAATTATAATTAAGTGGGATAAACTTTATTAGAAAGACTGAAACTAAAATATCTCTTAATGCATGCTGGGATTAAGCAGGTCAGAGCGAGCAGGCAGGAAAAATTAAACTCTAAAGGCTTTTTATCACCATATTTCAGGAACCAAGGGTGTAAAATGTTCTAATTTGGGATACATTAAAAGCCATAAAGGTCTTTCAAAAAGATTAATGGTACTTTGCTTGGATTTAAGATAAGGGCTTCGGCTGGCTGCGAGTGCTGGGCTGCGGCTGGGCCCTGCAGGCATTCATCTATACAGTCACTGCAAGATTTCTGAACGCGTCTGAATAACCTGGCTGTGACAGTTCTGCACTTCTCTGCCATTTTATACGTTTTAAACTCCCAGAATCGTGTTTTTCTCCACCATAAGGACGACGGCTCCACTGTCTGCAGCAGATTTACAGATAAAACGTCCTGATGGGGGAATGTCGGGGTTAAATGGGTCAAATCGGCTTAATTTAGGAAAGAATGCTGATAAACTACAACTACAACGGAAGTTTTACTGGACCAAATAAAAACAAACAAATGACTGTAAAACATGGTAGTTTGACTGATTTTCACATGTTGTGACCAAATTTGGTCGCCTGGCGTCTCTTCCTGTTTGGCTGATTGCATTAACGGATTTATTGTCACTTTATGTGGGAAAAAAAGAAACTTTTTTAGAAAATATTTAAACGTGAATTTTAAAAAATGAAATAAAAAATATGGATAAAAATTTGAGCCACTATCATTCATAAATTTCCCATAATGATGCAATTCATTAAGATATTTAATGTAATATTAGTTTTTCAATCCTTTTTATTTTTACTTTTACGTCTTAATGACATTTTTCTATTTTAAATTTTTTTATAATTAAATTTTCTTTTGTTGTTCTCACTCTTTTCCATAAATATTCGGGATTTTTTTCTGATAATTTTGTAATTAATTGTGATATTCAATGTAATATTTGTTTTTTAATCGTTTTTAATTTTACTTCTACGTCTTACTGACATTTTTCTTTGTCATATTTAAATTTTTTATAATTTTTTTTTGTTTTTCACCCCCTTTTTCCAAAAAAAATTTTTCTCATAATATTCCAATAAATTGTGATATTCAATATAATATTGCATTTTTATCTTTTTTATTTTTGTCTTAACATTTTTGTTTGTCATATTTTTAAATATTTCTTAATAACTGAATTTTTTTCCTACAATGTGACAACATGATTGAATTTACCAGCTGATGCTTTGTCATATTATTCTAGTTGTAATGTAAAATAAAGACATTTTAAATGTGTTTCCATCTCGTCAGTCTTTAATTATTTACATGGTAACTTCCTCATTTTACAACTAACTTTTTTTTAATAATTTCTAGATTTTAGGACAGCTGAAGCATTAAAAAAACAACAAAGACTCAAAATGATTCACTGTAACTGGAAAAAAATAAGAATAAAGTGAAAAATGGGAAGATATTTGCTCATTTCAGTTGCAAATCAAACAGAAGTGATGCTAAACGGTTTTATTTGCAGATTTGCGCGGAGCGTTTTTACACAGGATTACCCACATTAACCAGCTCTCCTGCAGGTCTGGAAAACGCCTCCTGCTACATTCCTGCAGCAAAGCTAAACCCCCCACTTCCCTTGAAATTCCCAGCATACCCTCTGCTATATTTAAAGCATTAAAGGTCTTTAATTTTATCAGTTTTAGTCTACACTGCCTGATTGTCTTTACTGCGGCTCAACATTAATGTCAACCAAGTTACCTAGGAGACAGAGCAGATCAAAGAGACAAAAAAAAGCCCTCAAATGTCTGATTAATCAAGCCTGCAAACAGCTTATTTCTTTTAGCCTGCATGCAAGTATGAAAATGAGATTCGGAGAGCAGTACATTGTGCAGATTTGTTCATTCTTATCTGAACAAAGCCAGCGGCAGCTTATTTCATGGATCACTGGCACTGTCAGCGCCGCGGCGCCGAGCAGGTGACGGCTCCTCTTTCTGCGCCGAGAACGAAATTAGCAAAAAGTCGGCACAAATTAGCCTCTCATATTTTCAGTAATATGACATTATTTTTCATTTACTTTTTTGATCCACTTTTCAGGATTTTTTTTCCTTTTTTTATCCTCCCCCCTCTTCCTCCTCCTCCTCCTGCGTGCATCTTAGTGCCAAATCCTTTCACATCAGAGGCTGGTGAGAAATCACACTGGAAGTACAAAGCAGGAAGAGACAGGAAACCTCCTGCGCTCTTTGTTTACGTGGCTCCTAAACGGCAATTCTTCCCACTCCATCACATATTAACATACAATTAATTGTCCATCACGGCCGTTTCTCTTTCTCTCCTGTGTGGCCTCTCCTTAAAAAAAAGGTTTATTCAGAGGATTAATTATCTGACCTTTAGAAGATTTGAAGAAAAAAAAAACAATGCACAATGGCGGCGCTGCAGCGGCAGCTTAAGGCCACTAGGAGGGTTAAGTCAACACTGTTTTCTGTTCGGGTCGCCATGGAGATCCAAGTGAGGACTCAAACATGGAGCCACAAAGAAATGACGC